TGCACCCCCAGCACCCAGTTCACCTGCCGCAGCGGCGAGTGCATACACCTGGGCTGGCGCTGCGACGGCGACCGTGACTGCAAGGACAAGTCGGACGAGGCCGACTGCCGTAAGCCCCCTCCACGCCGCCCACTCCCCAGCAGGGCCTGCGGATCCGGCCATGCACCGGCCAGGCACAGACTTGCCGTCTGCCTTCTCCAGAGGGCACTGACCCGTTTTACCAGGGAGCAGACAGGGTAGGAGAATGAAGTGACTGCTGGAAATCATGCGGCTGCTAAGCAGCGGGGCTCAGCTCTGTCCCTAGAAGCCAGGCACACGCTTCCTGCCCTGGTGCCCTCCCTGCATGTCTGATGCGCTGTACTCCCCAGGCCCCCTGCACCTGAGCTCCTGGAGGATAGGAGTGCTCAGTCCTCACTGGGCTCCTACACCCACCCAGCACAGCACCTAGCTCAGGAGGGGTTGACGAAGCGGACCAAGTCAGCAGTCGTGAGCCGTAAGACTCAACAGAAGGCTGTGCATCTGTTCTGGGGAGGAGCAGCAGACAGGAAAACAGGGGCCTGAGTTTTAGTCCTGGCTCTGCTTGCCCATGTGCTATGTGACCCTGGACGAGCTCTTCCCCCTCTCTGAGCTTCAGTCTTCCCATCTGTACACTGGAGGTGCCTTGGCCAGGGGTCCTCTGAGGGCTCCTAAGCTCGGCCGCTGGTTCTGTTCTTCTCAGGGGTGGATGTGGCACGGGGCTGTCCTGGCGCTGCACTGACTCTGACCCTGTCCTGCCTTCTCCCATCAGTGCTGGGGGCCTGCCGTGGAGACGAGTTCCAGTGTGGCGATGGGACTTGTGTCCTTGTGATCAAACGCTGCAACCAGGAACAAGACTGTCCGGACGGAAGCGATGAAGCCGGCTGCCTGCAGGGTATGTGTGGTCAGGGCAGAGGCAGTGTCCCCTGGGGAGAGCCCTATGCTCTCAGCCAGGTCGCGGAGAGCACAGAGTTGGCAGAGGCCACCCCTTGGTCAGATGTTATTCCTACCCAGATCATCCCTTGCCCCTGTAGCACCCGGGTCCCCTCACTGGAGTCCTGGTGACACGAGAAATGAATCATTCAGGACTTCATCTTCGGGGATGTGAAAGGGCACTGCAGGAAGCCGTGTTCCTCCCGCGTGTCCGTGTCCAAGCTGCCCTCACTAGTTCTGACCTGAGCAGAGCTTTGGTCACCACCTGCCCCCTGTGGGAACAGAGACGCTGGCCCACTAGTTATGTGGGCGGTGTGGCAACCTTTCCTGTCCAGACCGTGGACAGAGGTGTTTCCCGGGAGGTGTCAGCTCAGCCCCGACATCTCTGCAGTCCCTCCCAGCGCCCCAGGCCTCACAGGTCCAATGCAGACACCATGGCTCTGCCCAGTTAGATGACATACAGGACTCTGGTCCTCCCTGGGACCCTGTAGGACTTGGAACTCTGCTTGTCTGTCTTGGGCCCAGGCCCGGCCCAGCTCTGTGCCTCTTGCCCTGGGTCTTACAGACACTGTCCGCTCTTTTGTCTGGCCCGACAGAGTCCACTTGTGAGGGTCCCCGCAGATTTCAGTGTAAGAGTGGCGAGTGCGTGGACGGCGGGAAAGTGTGTGATGCTCAAAAGGACTGCCAGGACTGGTCGGATGAGCTTCTGAAAGAGTGTGGTACGGTACTGTCTACACCCAGAGGCTGGACTAACCCTCCTGCCAAGCCCTCACATGTCCCTCTCAGACACCCTGCTCTCTCTCTGCCCTGTGGTTCTTTGCCCCTGGGCCTCTTGTTCTGTATTCTGTGAAGCTCTAAGGCCTTTCCTTTTCAGCCCAGATGCTCAAAAGTTATGCTGCTTCTTACAAACTTGGCCTCCCCTCCTCATTCCTTCCACATTCAGACCTCAGAGAGCGTGTTCTCTGCAGCTTTCTCTGTTCCTCCCTGCTCTGCTCTGCTGATCTAGTTGGGGCCCTGGATTCTGAGCCCTTCTACCCGCTGCAGGAGACACAGGAAGGGAGAGGTGGGGAATAGCAGTCAGGAGGCTGACTGACACATCCCAGAGCTGCTCTCAGGCCAGGCCTGGGTGGGAAGAGGGCAGTCCCGGCAGCATGAGGTGGCACCGCCAGAAGCCCTGGGCGTCTGGGACTTGCTGGGAAGCCCCGACTTGCAGGCTGGATGAGTGAGAAATGGAATGAGGCAGCTGTTCTGATGGGTTCCAGGATCCAGAGAGCAGTCTGTCTGTGTGACAGTTGGGGTGGGCATCCCAGAGGACACACTGGGAACCCAGCGTGGAGCTAGGAAGGTTCATGAGTCATTTCTCCGAGGATCCCAGGGAGGACAGAGGTCAATCTTCCCTCTCTGACCTCCTGGTGGACACTTCCCCAGTACCGCCCCCTCCTGGGCACCTAGAGGAACTGCATGCTCCGCAGCTCCCCAGGGATACCACATTACCTCCCTTTTTGAAGATTTAAAAAACCAAAAGACCCAGACCTCAAACTGACAGTGAAAGAAGGAGTAGCTAAGGGAAGTTCAGCCTTGAAAGTCCAGCTGAGAGAAGGCCCAGGAGGAACCTGTAGAAAGAGGGGCTGTGAAGTAGGAACAACGGAGTCTCCCCTCGCACCCAGACTGCCGTCGGCCAGGGACCACTAACCTGCTAAACTCTCTCTTCTCTCATATTTCGCATGACATACCCAAGAGAAGATGTGTGCATGTGTCTGTGTCTGAGGCTTTTCCGTCTGGGTGTCAGTGAGAGGTCAGTGTCTGTCCGTGTCTCCCTTGAGGAAGCAGAGGAGCTGCATTCGAGTATCTCTGGGTGTGTTCCCACATCTGTGTGCGTGTTGAAGGTGCCCGTGGTCCCGTCTGTGACTGCACATAAGCCGGCACGTGTGTGCATGCAGGTGTCTGCATGTAAGTGTGTGCATGGGCTGGCGAAAGGGACACCTCTGGTTCCTTCCATGGAAGGCAGCCTCAGATGCTCCTCGGGCCTCTCTGGGCCACTCTACCCGTTTCCTTCCTCTCCCGGTTCCCCAGAAGAATCGCCTCCAGACGGAACAGAATTAGGGAGAACCAGAGACTTCTCTTGAGGTCTTCTAGGAAAGGTGGGCAGGACAGACAGTGTGGACCCAATGCCCTTTCTCTTCCTTGACCTATCTCAGTCCCAGAGGAGTCTGTATCTTCTTTCATCAGAAACCAGAGTCGTGTTGAGCTCTCCCCTTTCCCCTTTCAAAGCCAGCCTGTAGCCATCAAGTGCTCAGTAAATGGAATTGTGGAGTTGCTGCTGCCCGCAGAAGGAGAGGAAGGAAGCGAGCGGATGCATGAATGACGTAGTGAGCGAATGGGAGGACACCTGAGTGAGTGGCACTCAGAATAATGTGGCACAGGAGAGGTCAGGGAGGGTTTGGGGTGACGGAGGGAGTCCTGAAGGCGGTTTCCCTAGAGGCTTCTGTGAAGGCTCAGCGCACTGGCAAGAATCTGGGGCTTCCCTGGGCTGGACCAGGTTAAGCCATACCTGAACCCCTGAATCATGGGGTTGCTGTGGTCTTGTTCTTTCAGTTGCACCAACATTCCGGGGAAACAGGAGGCGGCCCAGGGGTAAAGGGGACATTTACTAAGCATGGCTTAGGCTGGAGGTGGGGCACCCCCAGCTGTGCATGGCCTCCGGTGGGCAGCTCAGACCAGCTGCGTGCATGCCTGTGGCTGGCTCAGCTCAGCTCTGCTTGGCTTGGCTGGAGTGGCTGTGCATGAGGCTGGTGGGCAGGGGGTGGTGCAGCACCTTCCCTTGGCTTGTGAAGTTAACCTTCTATGATTTTAAAGCTCAGGAGATGCCATGAGAACTTGGTGAGCCTTGGTCCTGGACCCCCTGGCCTCCCTCCCTTAGAATCCTCCAGGAGGTGGTAAAGGAGTGGAGGATGGGATGGGGGAAACAGACCCCAATGACCTCCTGACATCCCTACATCCCTTGCAGCATTGGGTAATTCTGGGATCAGGCCTGTGATAAAGTGGAGAAACAGGGAAAGGTGCTAAGAGGAAAGGAGATGAAAAAAATCCATTGTTTCTGTTCCATGGGAGGAAAGAACTGGCTTGGCAGCCGGTGTGTAGAAAAAGGCCTGGCCTGGTAGTCTTGGATACATAAGCATAGTGAGGCTATCTTATGTTATTTAGACTCTCTCTGGCTGGCCGGCTAGCTCTGGGCCCTGCCCAGAGAGGGACATGGACAGGTGAAGAATGTCCAGAGAAAGGGATCAGTCGCAAGGAGCTAGAAATCAGCACCTTCAGGAAGTTCTGAAGGAGCCCCTACACCCTGACCAACGCCGTACAGCCGAGCTGGGAGGGAAAGCAAAGCTACAGGAGGCAGCTCCTAGAAGGAAGAGCTCCTTAAGGGCCAGTGCTGGTCCAAGTGGAATCTGCTGCAGGAGGAGTGCAGGCTCTCTGAGCCAGTGTTTCGGAGGTGTTCTTGGAGCCAAGGACTAGATGTGACATGTGGAAGCTCCTCCAAAAGCTCAGGGGTCATGAGGAAGGAGGGCAGAAAGAAATGTGGATGCAGAAGGAAAGACCTTAGTCCAAGGGAAGGGCTAGCTGCCTCCAGCTTGGTGGTGGACAGAGCCCTAACCTGGGAGGACAAGAACCTGAGCTCTGGCTCTCCCATCCTTGCCTGCGTCTGGCTTTGAGTGAAGACCGAGGGTGAGGCTCAGTGAGGACTGGAATCCTCCTGGCCTGTGGGGGTTCTGCTGCCCCAAGGCTCTGATTCCACTCTGGGCCCTGCCTCTGCTTTGCCCTGCCCCACCCTTCTGGGCTCCTAGACCCTCAGGAGCCTGCATCCCTCCCCAGGACTGAATGAGTGTCTGCACAACAATGGCGGCTGCTCCCACATCTGCACTGACCTCAGGAAGGGCTTTGAGTGCTCGTGCCCGGCAGGCCTCCGTCTTCTGGACCAGAAGACCTGTGTCGGTGAGACTCTCCCTATCTGCCCACGCAGACACAGATCCTCCTTCTGGTTCTGATCTCTGATCCTCCCCACAGACATAGACGAGTGTGAGGACCCAGATGCCTGCAGCCAGATCTGTGTGAATTACAAGGGTTACTTCAAGTGCGAGTGCCACCCTGGCTACGAGATGGACTCACTGACCAAGAGCTGCAAGGCTGTGGGTACGGATACCCCAGGGTAGGGGCATTTCTCTGAGAAGGTACAGGAAGCTGCGTGTTCCCGCCTGTGTGAGGAGTGGTTGTGAAGGTGTGCATACGCACACAGAAAGCAGACAGCACGCGTAGTGCTCAGACTCTAAATACAGTCACCCCATGCTAACACCCACCAGACACGGCACAGAGCCACCTAACGCACAGCCCATGGAGGTTATGCCCATCGGAGCCGTTCCCACATGCAGACCTACACATTGATCCATTGAGCCAGCAGGATTAATTCATCTTGTGCAGCTCTTTACTCTGAATAGCTAACATTGTTATAGACCCTAGGGATTAAACAGTAAAGCAAAACCGATACAAATCCCTGTCTACCCTCATGGACTTACATTCTTTTCTTTCTTTCTTTTTTTTTTTTTAATTAGGATATGTTTGCATTACAAAATGATTATATGCATTGTTGGGAGCTGGTACATGTATGTAACCCATTTTTTTTTTTTTTGCCAGCATCAGATTTAAATCTCTGTCAAGTTAATTGTCATAAATATAGATTACCAGTCAGACTAACAGATCAAAGTGATGATAAGGGCTAAGGAGAATATAAAGTAGGAATAGGAAAGTCCAAGAGGGCAGTGGTTTACAGTTTTAAATAGAATGGTGAGAGAAGCCCCCACTAAAATGCTGCTCCTGCAGATAACTGAGTATCTTTTCAGTTCTCTGCAAGAACAGCATTTCAGGCTGAAGGAACGGAAAGTGCAAAATCTCTAAGGAAGGAACATGCTCTGGAGTGTTCAGGAAGAGCGTGGAAGCCATTGCAGTTGGGGCAATGAGTTTGGGAAGAGATGAAGTCAGAGAGGTGGCTTGGTGCCAATCTCATAAATCCTTCTAGAGCATTGAAAGGGCTGACTTGACTTATCACTGTGAGGGAGAAATGTGGAGTGCCATTTGGGTTTTGTCTGGCTATAGTGTTGAGAGTAGGCAGCAGAGTGCAAGGAAGGAAATGGGAAAACACTTAGGAGCTGTCTTAGTTACTTTTCTCATTGCTGAGACAAAATAACCAACACTCAGAGTTGGAAAGGTTTATTATAGCTCATGGTTTATAGAAATTTCAGTCCATGCTTAGCTAACTTCAAGGTAGGGTGGTGTGGCAGAGAGGCATGCAGAGGAGAAACAGTTCATGGCAGGCAGAAGGCAGTAAAACAGCAAGCAACAACAGCAGCCCTCTTTCTGTCCCTTACATCCTATCCAGGCTGTCCACCCTTAGGGCAGGTAGCACTCACTCCCAGGGTGGGGCAACCTTAATCCTAGCATTGCACCATGAATTAATCCCAGTATTACACCTTTAATCCTAGCATCACACACTCTAAATCTAGCCACCTCCAAAAGCCCCGCCTATGACTACATAAGACTATGGAGACATCTAGATAAGAGCTACAATAGAAGGTTATTTTAGTAATGCAAAAAAGAGATATGGCTTGCACCACGGTAACTGCAGTGCGAATACTGAGACATGGACAGATTGTGGGTATATGTTGAAGGCCAGTCAGTAGGATTTTCTACAAATTAAATGTGGCGGGGAGAATAAAGGAGTAAGATTTTTGGCTTTGGCAACTGAAAAAGTTGGATTGCTACTTCTATACTGGGAAAGATGGTGACAGAAGCCATTTAGAAGCCATGGTTAGACTGTTTGGGACATGTTGCATATAAGAAACTATTTAGGTGTCCAAGTGGAGGTATTGAGTAGTCATTCAGTTGAATATATGAGTCTCGAGCTCCTATACATTAATACAATAAATACAAAAGACTTAGATTATAACAACATAAAAGCCATAGGGCTTTATCTGTAGTCCATAAACCCAAAAAATATTTCACCCATATCACATACCATAAAATATATATTCACCTGTTGCCTGTTTTTATCCCCACATAGGACATGTGTAACATGCAACACATATTTAGGCAGTGGAGATAACTGTCCATGTATACATAAAAAGCCATACATATGAGTATTTAGAGTGCACTTCACAAAAACTCAAGTCACAAACACATAGGATCCCTGTTACTGTCACAGCTAACATTAACAATCACTGCCTGGGCCGGGGATTTAGCTCAGTGGTGCCGCTGACTACCTTGCAAGCATGTGGTCCTGAGTTTGATCCCCGGTACCAAAAACAAAAATCACCTCCAGATGCCCCTCTCCCCAGCACCGAACTTCAGAAAGGTGAAGTGTTGTTGCTGTCATTTGGAGTGAGGAGAATCACAGTAGAGCTAGACCTGTGACCGGCTTTCCTCCTTGCCCCTTCTTGCGTTTTAAGCCGTTTTCTGGGCTCTGTTTTTGTGCCCCAGCCTCCCTCTCACTTCCGCCTTGAGACAGTCCATTACCATGCTTCCCCAGCCCCTACCTGGCCAGCCCTTGCCCCGGGCACACATCAGCCTGGCACAGATGTGTAGACAGGGACCGGGTGGCCAGCACAAATGTCAACTGGAAATCATGGGCGGGAGACGTCACAGGCAGCTCCAGGGACAGGTGCTGCTAGGAGCTACCACTCAGCTGCCTGAGAGTGGCCCAGTACATCTCAGAAACAGCCCAGGGCAGCTAGCACTCAGCCTGTGGGACAGTGACCTTCCAGGGAATCGCTAGAAATGTCTAGGTCACTGCAGATCTTCCTAAAAATCTAACAAGTCTAAAAATGGGTTTTGTACATACACGGGCAGTTATGTTATGTCTACTGCAAGTACATCATCTGTGTCAGATATAGCACATGTCCCACCTTTGCCATCGGCTCAGCCTAAAGAAATTTCACCCAGCTCCCAGGCCCTTCATTATCCAGCCTTGGATTTCTGCAGCTCCATCTCTTGTTATGGCTGTAGAAAAACTCACAGCTGCCTGCCTGAGGGTCTGCTCTCTGTCCTGCATACACAGCCATCTTTCTGAGGCATTTCCTTGCTCAGGGAGTCCCTATTTGAACAGGGCCCCATGGGAGATGATGATAGTTGCTGGGAAGAAATGCATTCTGAGTGAAGCGGAGGACTTGAGCAGAGGCCCAAGGCAGCGCAGCCCTGCCCTGCGCTGGCAGGGTAATGACAGGTGTCAGTAGCTGGAAGGGAGGTATGTTAGAGAGGTGGGTTATAAGGCTGAACGGGGAACATGGGGTTGTACTGCAGAAGGCCTCAGTGTAGGCCTAAGAGGGAAATGGGGGGTCATTACAGAAGTGGGAGATTTTGTAGTTAATGAAAAGAAAGTAACTTTTGTCCTGCATGGTGCTTTGTATCCTACACTCCTTTGTACTCACTTCATCTACTCTGCTACCCAGTAGAGATTATCACACGGGAAAAAGCTGTCACACAGCAAACAAGTGGCAGAGTTTTGGTCGTCAGCTTCCCTGGCTTTTGCAGTGACCCTCTCTCTCAACTTCCCTGCTCGGCAGCTGGCAAGAGCCCGTCCCTGATCTTTACCAACCGGCACGAGGTGCGGAGGATAGACCTGGTGAGGCGGGATTACTCACGTCTCATCCCTATGCTCAAGAACGTTGTGGCGCTAGATGTGGAGGTTGCCACCAATCGCATCTACTGGTGTGACCTCTCCTACCGCAAGATCTACAGGTGAGTGGCCTGTCCCCTGCAGCAGGCCTGGGGAGGGGAGGCTGGCAGGAGAGGAAGGAGGCTTCTCCGAGTTGGACTTGGGAAAGGATGCAGGCTCGTGGTGGTGGTGGCACACCAGGACTTCACCCTGGGTGGGCCAGGGCTGAGAGTTCTGCTGGAGGAGCAGTTTTGAGCCCACACCCCCGGGCTGCGTCTGAGCACTGGTGGAGAAGTGCAAGACATAGGAACTGTTCAACCAAGGCCAAAAGAAAGAACTCCCTGGCTTAGTTCCAAAGCAGCTCACGTATCTGTGTGTCAGACCCTGTGGATTCAAAGATGACTCAGAACTGGTCCCTGGCTGGAGAATCCCACTTATGATATAGTGACTTCCATTACGGTGATGGTGTGGGGGGAGTGCAGAGACCTCTGGCCCAATCTGAGGGCTGAGAAATCCTTCTGAAAGGCAGAATTCCTGAAGCAGTGGATGATGGTGCTTGGGAGGCTCCTCACACACTCTAGGAGGTCACCTGCATGTCTGGACACCCTTGGGCAGCCCTGGCCTGTTTTGCTTGCGATCCAGTTGGCAGGACTGCTGATCACCAGACACCGAGTCACTGTTGAAAGAATGATGGGATGGACGGACGGGTAGATGAGTGGATGGGAGCAGATACACCGAGTGCTAGTCTCTGACAGCTGGATTCCTGCCTCCTGCCAGCGCACAGCCAGCTTCACTGAGTTCACATCCCTATACACAGAAACAGCCAGAGCAGAACCTGTCCTACAGCTAGGACTGGAAGAGGAGTTTTTTTGTTTTTGCTTTTTGGTACCAGGGCCTTTGCATTGGCCTATATCCCCAACTTTTTGTTTATTTGTTTTCTGAGAGAGGGTTTTGCTAAGTTGCTACATTGCCCGGGCTGGAAAGAACTTGTGATCCTCTTGCCTCGGCCTGGGATTATAGGTGTGTGCCACCATGCCTGGCAGGCAGAGGAGGACTTCGTGAGAGACCAAATATAGGGTGAGAGAGAAGAGTCAAGGTCAGCTTCTGCGTGGTTTGAAGAATTGCAGGTATCTCCAGTTTAGGAGTTTTGTGAATGATGCCGCTGCTCTGAGATGGGAAGCACTGGAGGAGGGCCGGGGTGAGGGGCTGGGCAGTCCGTGTTTAACTCAGGGGATGGAGTGAGGATGAATGGTTTGCACGCATCGAGTTCAGAGTGTCCATGCAACGTCAAAGGGCAGTCGGTTGGCTCTGCAGTCTGGACCTTAAGAGAGTAGTTGGAATGGAGAGTCAGAATTATAGACAGCAGTGGACACTGTGAAACCAGTCATAGAGAGAGGGTATGAGCAAGAAGAAAGCCTGGGAACAACAGTATTTGGGACACAAAGTCCAACTAATGGCGCCTTATGAGTATGTATGTATTACCAGCCCTCTGTCCATCCTCAGTGTACAGCCCCCCTTCAGGGCCTCTTCAGGTTGCACCATGACATCCTCCTTACCAGTTTCCTTGCCCTCGTTCCCTCCCTTTCCAATCTATACACTGCACAGGCGGCACTGTGATCTCCGATCACATTCTTGAACCTGCTTAGTTACCCATTCCCTCGCCTTCCCCTGAGGTAAAATCCCAGTACCTTAGCATGGAACCCAGAGCTGATCAGGATGTGGTCCCTGCCTGCATTTGTCTTATATCCCACAAGCCAGCTGTACTCCACTGAACACCTCACGATGCCAGAACGTGCTTACCCTGGGCATGTGCATGCCCTGTCTACTTTGCTGAACAGCTTTCTCTTTGCGCCCCTGGTAAACTAGTCCCCGGGGCTCCACTTCAAAGTCTTCTCTTGGTCTCCAGGATGGTGTGGTCTCCATATCCCTGCTGCCACAGCCTCTAATGCTTGGTGGAATTACCTTGTGTTATGCCTGGCTCCTGTCCCCCCACTAAATTGAATACCACTAGACCAGAGACTGTGCTGACTCAAGCCTGTATCCCTGCCCTGGAGGCCCAGGCAACGTGTTGAATGAAATTAGCCAAGTTCCTCTGAAAGCCACTTCCATGGCCTAGAAACAAGAGAAAGGGAGGGGCCTGGGATTTAGCTCAGTGGTTCTGCTGCTCGCCTCTCAAGCACAAGGACCCGAGTTCGATCCCCAGTACCCGCCCCCCCCAAAAAAAAAGAAGAAGAAGAGAAAGGGAAAGGTGCACAGGTAGCTGCAGATGGGCGCATGGGTAGAACATGTACCAATGGCCAGCTGTCATGTCTCCTAAGTGCCAACATGGACAAGGCCAGCGACCCAGCAGACCAGGAGGTCCTCATTGATGAGCAGCTGCACTCTCCAGAGGGCCTGGCGGTGGACTGGGTCCACAAGCATATCTACTGGACAGACTCTGGTAATAAGACCATCTCAGTGGCCACACTTGATGGTCGCCGCCGATGCACTCTCTTCAGCCGCGAGCTCAGTGAACCCCGGGCTATTGCTGTTGACCCCCTGCGAGGGTGAGTGTCCCTGCCAAACTTCTCATTCCCCCACTGTAGGCACTCAGTCATCACGTTTTTGTCACAAAAACTATCTTGAGGGCTCTAGAAGATTCTAGGCCTCTCAGACATAGGCCATCAAGAAGAAAGTAAGTCCCCCCCGCCCCGATACACACAAACACACACATGCGCGCACGCAGTTCTTTGGACCCTGGCCTTCAGGTTCTGTCCGGATCCCCTGCTCACCCATTTTATCACAGAACTGGAGCGACTTAGAGCACAGCAGGGCTCTGGAGATTGCCTGGTAGAAGCTCCTGGGACAGAGGTCTTTCCTCAGGTTGCTGCAGGTAGGCATCTGGCCGCTGCTTACACACTCCAGGGACAGCAGCTCATTTCTTCCTGTAGGTCCTATTTCATTATGAGGAGTCTTTGCCCACTGGAAGTGTTTTTTTCCCCCTCACAATCCCAAATCTGTCTGTCTCCCGTCCTGCACTGGCCTTAAGAGTTACATGGCATGCCTGCTGGACGGCCAGCAAGATCTGAGAACCAGGTCACTGGATCTGTTCTGCTCCCTGCTACCTTTATCGCACCCTCCCCACCTCGCTACCTCGTTCTGGCCATGCCTCAGGAATTCTGAACAGAACAGGACTCCCTCCGTTAGTGGAGATACCTTGAGATGCGTCAGATTTTTTAGTAGCTGTATCATATTAAGTTCACCAGATTCACTAACTTCTTCTATGTTAAACAAGGATGAGAAACTCTCTTCTTGTGAGCACCGCTGGTTGAGGCCAGGCACATGAGAGGGTATGTGAGGCTTTGGGATGGAACTCTCAGCTGCCATTTACAAAGCATGCCAGGTGCTCCCTTCCCATTTCTGGGCACTCTGAGAGATATTGAGCTAAATCATTAACCCTCACTTCAACCCTGTGTACTGTTCTCATGCAGAACTGGTACAGCCCTTGTGATATCCTGTCCCCTAAGCCATATGATTATGCCTACCTCTGATCCATGGTGGATCTGTCAGCATCCCTGCAGGAAACCTACTACATACTAAATTTAGATAATTGGAGGGAGTGTGATAAGGGGACTATTTACAAAGGAGTGTGTAAGGTTAGATGCACTGTCATGGATTAGTAGGCCTGAGGGTCATAGTAGGGAGCCTTGAGTTGGGAAGATCATCCACTTTCTCCTCTACAAACCGGAAAAGAGCGTTTACAAGGACTCTTCCCACACTGACCCTTCTCGGGCTCTGCTCCAAGCTGCCCCAAATGGGTGAGATGGGCTCACGGGCTGTTTAGCCAAGGCTGGGTGGACTGAGAAGAATCTAGCTTCCCTCGGGTTCTCAAATGAGCTGAAGACAGTGCCTACTAATTCTATGAGTTGGTACTTCCAAGGGATTTCATAAGGCTTTCTGGTGCTCACTAAGCATAATTCTCAGTTATTCTGTGAGGCATTGAGCCTTTGTGACTCAGACCACCCCACTCATGTCCCCACCAAGAACCAAACTGGGTTCTTCTTTCAGGTTCATGTATTGGTCTGACTGGGGGTACCAGGCCAAGATTGAGAAGTCTGGGCTCAACGGTGTGGACCGGCAAACACTGGTGTTAGACAATATCGAATGGCCCAACGGAATCGCCCTGGGTGAGCCCTGCCTCCTTGGTTTGGGGGTCCACTCTCACATCTGATCCCAGAGCCTCATGGGTTTTGTGTCTGGGTCCCCTCATGTTCCTTGATGGTTGTTGCTGTACACTAGGATCAGTATGAGGCTTAGGAATGTGGGCTGGAAGTGGGAACAGACAAGCAGAGAGCTAGGTCAGGGTCCCAGGTTTATGACCTGATCCCTCCTTGCCTTCTTCCTCCCCAAGATTTGCTGAACCAGCGTTTGTACTGGGTGGACTCCAAGCTGCATCAGCTGTCCAGCATTGACTTCAGTGGAGGCAACAGAAAGAGGCTGATTTTATCCCCTGATTTCCTGAGCCACCCTTTTGGGATAGCTGTGTTTGAGGTGAGCCCGGTGAGGGTAAGCATGGCCCCACAAGAAAGCTGCCTGGAGAAGGTTTCTTCAAACAGGACACTTGGCTCAGACTTGTCAGATGGAAACAAAGAAACAAGGAAGCCAGCTGAGGTGTTTGTACACAAATTGAAGGCTGCCTACATACAAAGGCTTTTCAATCTATTGCCTACCTGGCAGTGTTCCTTGCTCACTTCCCAAGAGCACTTTCTCAGAGCCCTTCCCTTAGGAGTGGTGCTTTCTCTCTGCACAATGAGTACCCAGTACTGTACCACATGTACTGCAGGTGCCCAATAAAGGGAGGAAGGGAAGAAGCAATGTACACTGTCGTAGAATTTTTCACTGCAGCAAATGGCTTAAGAGAGGCTATGCAGTACAGCACCCTTCTGTTGACCTTTGCTGTCATAGAAGTGAATCGGACACCATTCCAGTCTTCAGGAAGCTCCAGGAAGGTGAAGTCAAGCAAGGCCCTCTTGTGCCCTGACCCTAACAACCTTTCTTCTTGGGAATGAGGAAGCCAGAAACTACCAAGTTCCCACACAGCCACCTCGTGCATAAAACTAAGTGTCACCAAGGGGAGGGAAAGCAGAAGGACAGTGCTCTCTGGTAGGATCTGGCAGAGTTTTCTTGGAGCGGCTTCACCCAGCACTGCTCTGAAACTGTGAGCAGAGCTCCCCCTCTTAAGTCCAGCTCCTCCTTCAAGACAGGCGTGTTTGGATGCGTGTGTGTGTGTGTGTGTGTGTGTGTGTGTGCGCTTGAGTGTAGTTGTGGTGTGTGTCGAGTATAAGTACGTGCCACGTGTATCTATAAGTGCGTCAGAGTGGAAGTGTGCATTCCTGCATGTGCTGAACTTGGGAGCATAAATATGTACACCCGTATTAGACAAGCTTATTTAGGTACAAGTATGACTTTATTTGTAGATTAACACTTGGCCGTATATGTTCTGGATCTGTGTAGAAGGATATGTGGATTTACTTCTAATTTTGGATTTACCTTCAGATGTTTGTCTAGGTTTGTATCAGTTAAACCATGGGGACTTGTGTGTCTACCCAGGGGTTGTAGAGAGTCCAGCACCCTTTGGTGGCTCACACATCCCCTCCAGTCTTGGTCCCAGGCACCTTTAATAACTAAAGAGATTTCTGCTGGCTCTAGGAAGCAGGCATAAATTAGCATTAGTAGGTTTGTGCCCTGCAGGGCAAAGCACAGAATTACCAGATAATCCTCTAAGATAGAAACCAGGAGAGTTTACCTCAGATCAGAGGCTGAGACTCCCATTGAGAGTCTGGACAGGATGGTTCAGGGGAAAGGTCAGGGCAGTTCTTGTCACTATGGTTTGGGGCCAGGTTCTCAAGTTGACGTCGTAAGTCGAGACTCTAGGCTTCCTGTCCTCTGCATCTGCAACCCACAGGACAAGGTGTTCTGGACAGACCTGGAGAACGAGGCCATTTTCAGTGCAAATCGGCTTAATGGACTAGAAATCTCCATCCTAGCTGAGAACCTCAATAACCCACATGATATCGTCATCTTCCATGAGCTGAAGCAGCCAAGAGGTGAGCACTTCCTCTTCCCTCGCCGCTTGCCTCGATCCTGCCCCTCTGCTAGGCGGGCTGTATTCATATTTGTGTCACGACTCGGCATTTCCAGGAATAACAGCAATCTCTCTTGCTGCAGAATGCATTATCATCACATATTTTGTCTGCTCACCTCAGATCTTTGTGAACTAAGGCTGGGTATAAATAAATATGTAAATGTGCTCCCTACTCTTGGCAATACAGACTATGCATATTATCCTTATTCACAGTGAAGGAAACTGAAGTTCAGAGAGGTAAAATAATGTTAGCAGGTAGCAGAACTGAAACCTAAACACAGGTTCATCCAGTCCCAATCTTTCCACTATGACACATGGCTTCTCATTTGGTATTTGTACCCACTTCGCAGTAGTATAAACGTGTCCTAGGGCCACACGGTAAGTCAGCTTATTGGTTGGGAATAGAATTCAGGAATCCTTCTATTGAAGCAGGAATTCAAGATAAGCAATTCCCAGCCTTGGGCAGTGTCCCCCAGCACCACCTCCCTGCTCCCCGGTAGCTATAACTACTTGTTCTGATGCAGATAAAATTAATAATTATGTCCTGTAAATAAAGTTTATGACACACTGTTTTCATATGATTCATAAGACTGTCTTTTTCCAAGGCAGAGTTACAAAACTGTCTGCCCTTGTTCTGTTCCGGTAAACTCACTTGCGACGTCACTAGAAAGACTACTCCCTTGGACAAAATGTATAAAAGCTGAAACTTCTCTTTGTTCAGTGCTCAGCCATTTTAAACACAGAGTCCACTGAGCTAGTTTATATACCTTAGATAAGTCCTCCTGCTTCCCATTTGGTCTCTCCTGTCTCTATTCTGCGCCTCTATCACTAGGAAATAGTAATGCTAACTGTAGCTGAGGTGTTGGCTGCCAGGGTGAAGGTGATCAGATCAGTACCTGATTCTAGCTCCAGAAATTTAAATAAGAGCAATGGTGGCATGTGACAAAGGGGAGAAATCCCTCATGGGTTTTAGAGTCCATACTTCAATTTAAATTCTGTCTATAAAATTCCTAGAGAACAGTGTGGACAAGTTTGTTCTCTTTGAGCCTACATGTCTTTATCTGTCAGTGTGACACATAACACCCACCTGTCAGAATTACTGTAAGAATCGACTGAGAGTGGGAACAAAACACTAGGTACAGTGCTGGAAGGTGCCCCGTCAATGTGGTAGGGAAAGCGTATAGCGAGCAGAAGGGATGGGCCATTACCCTTGGGAGATGGGAGAACCCATCAGGTCCCATCTGTGCCTTAACTTGCCCTCTCTCTGCCATTAGGTGAAGATGCCTGTGAGCTGAACACCCAGCCCAATGGAGGCTGTGAGTACCTGTGCCTTCCTGCTCCTCAGATATCCAGCCACTCTCCCAAGTACACATGTGCCTGTCCTGACACGATGTGGCTGGGCCCAGACATGAAGAGGTGCTACCGAAGTAAGCAGGGCTTCCGGGAGGGGCGGCCCTGGCAGTGCCAGAGCCCACCCTGGGGTACAGCGTGCTCCGGGGTTCCCTCTGGCCGCTCTTGCCCTTGCATGCTCCCCTTTGTTTCACCTTCCTCAAATGCTCATGTCCTTGGCAGCCTTCTAAGGCTTTTTCTTCTCCCAAGAAAAAAAAGGCACATATAGATAAAATGTTTTTAATTCAATTTCAGGTGATTTCTGGAACCCCTTGGAAACTTGAAGTTCAGAACCCTTGGTCTCCACAGCTTCAGTTACTATTTACACACAGATTACTATGGATTTGTCTGTTTCTTATCTAGAACTGAAACACTGCATACAGCCCTTTCGCTGCACAATTTGGGCTAATAGCCAGAAAATATTTCAACCTAGAAATTATGTTTTATTTCCCACTTGCGATATACGGCCAAAGCCTTTTGTTTGAGCACAAGTTGGCTACATCATTTATGGTTTCCAGGTTCAGTCATTTAACGTGAAATAGAATTTATACCAGTGATATAACAGTATCAGAGTAAAATGCTTCTAAAATGACTCATTTTTATCCAGTCAAAGGGAAGTGCTTAGGACTCAGCTGAAAAGACCACAGCCCATTTAGGGGGATGAGGGAAGGCGTCACAGAAGTGGCATTTGAGCTAAACCTGGAGGTTGGCTTCCTATATTAATTCATAGAGGCAGTACCTTTTACCACTAAAGCAACAAAACACGCTCTGTTCAAGTGACCTCCGTGGCCTTTCCTTTCTAGCACCTCCATCTACCTCAACTACGACTTTAGCTTCTACTACGACAAGGACAGTAGCAGCCACCACAAGAGCCCCTGGAACCACTGTCCACAGCTCCACCTACCAGAACCATACTACAGAGACACCAAGCCTGACAGCTACAATCCCAAGTTCAGCTAGTGTCTCCAGGGCTCCCAGCATCAGCCCGTCTACCCTAAGCCCTGCAACCAGCAACCACTCCCAGCACTGTAAGGAAATGAGCTCTGCATTCTTTTATGACATGGGAGGGTCCTCCGGGAGCCAGGTTGGGGTGTGTGGGAAGAGAGATCACACAGGAGACGAAAATGTGTGTCTCTGAGGACGAAGCAGAGGGAATGAGAGTGCCAGCCTGCGATTTAGGAATCTTGGGTGGCCTTAACTCGATAGGGGGTCTGCGGGAAATCTACATCATATGTCTGAGCCTGTTTCTTCTCCAGCAAAGGGGAAATAGGATCCTCCCAACCTGTCTCACCAATGCCCAGAGAAGCAGAGGAGGAAGTGCTCACACAACCTCTGCTGCCTGGGTGTGTGTATGACTGTTTCATAAGTCACTCGTGTGGTGTCCCTCGTGGTTGGAAAGCTCTGATCTCAGTTCCCATCAGCCTCAGTGAGCTGCCCAGATGGTAACATCGGTATCCATGACCTGCTCGTGCCTATTTCGAAAGCTTGCTATGAAAGTAACTTAAGTTCACCACTTAAATCATCAGAAGCAGTAATTGTCACTGCTAAAACTGTTCTATTTCATTAATCAGAAAATACATTTTAATTGATTTAACCTGCCAGGTGCGGTGGCGCACACCTGTAATCTTAGCACTGGAGAGGCTGGGGCAGGAGGATTGCTGCAAGTTTGAGGCCAGTCTTGGCTACATAGTGAGTTCAAGGACAACCTGCACTGCGTAGTAAGACCCTGTCTAAAAATAATAATAATAAATAATAAATAAATAATTGATTTAACCTGACAAAGAGAGTTCATTTAAAAGGATAAACTTTTTTACATCCTTTTCAATACACAAATGGTCCAGAAACCAAGCATCCTGGCAACATCTTTCTGACCCCGACCTGTTTTGCTATGAGAATCCGGATTTCTGAGTTGAGGACTCACCCTGAAGTTTGGAGAGGCAGGTGTAATGTGTGTGAATTTCACCTCCTCTCATCTGGGGATAGAACCTCTGACTAGCCTCCCCCACAGGCAGAGGTTTAATACCCCTGTCCAGTGTTGTTTGGACCTGGACCAAGAGGATAGCAACATATCCACAGTTAGCTTTGTAAGCGGTGCAGGTCTTTCCCCGCCTGAATAGTTAGATTTATTTGAGATAACTTGGAGAAACAGACACATTGAAAGGACAGAATCCAGACTATTGCCAAAGAGCAGTCACCTTCTCACTCAGAGTGAATGCCTCAGAGGGCTTGTTAAACTGTAAAGTACTGTCTAGATTTCCTAATGAAGATGATTGTAAGAGTAAGATGGCACAACATACTTTAAAAAGTACAGTGCATTTTCCAGGCACTTTTCAGTTTAGAATGCGCTTTTACATCCCTTGTTAAATTTACCCGCAACTCACCACGCTTTTTGAACTATGCAAGGCTGTACCAGGTATGGTGCTGAGTATTTTAAATTAGTTATCTTATTTAATCTTTACACTTTCCTAGGGGGTGGATAACAACATTGTCCCTATTTTCAAAATAAATAAGTATAGTATCATATATTCAGAGTCTACCATAAACATGTATACACACTTTAGCAGTTTGCTACATTGATTAAAAAAAGTCTGCAAGCTAATGGCCACCACTTTGAGCACCTCTTGTAATTGTAGAGGCCAAAGGTAACTTGTATTCATCTTCCTAAAGTGTACATTTTTTGACAGACTCTGTATATGAACTGTATACAAGGTCAATGAGTAGTAATGGGATTCTACAAGTAATGAGTAGTAGAAATGGGATTTGAACCCAAGCAGTCTGCTCTAGGAGCCTATGCTCTTGAGTTTTCGACACTCTTATGTCCTAACTTAATTACTTAGAGAAATTAAGCTAATAATGCTAATGGACGGACAGACCACCGAAAACAACAGAGATAGTGCAACAAATCCTGGCTGAAAAGCACAGTTGATCCAGTCAGTCAGCAACATGCAGACCTAAGTGCTTGCCCTACCGTGTACAACCCCAGCTTTTTACCACTGTGATGCTGAGGGGAGGGTATGGGATTTGGGTCACAAGTCCTGAGTTCAAGTCCAGCTGAACCACTTATTTGTAAGATTCAATTTCCCCACCCCTCTTCTGCTTGTCTCAAGGGAGTTTTGTTAGGATCGGGCAGACACATCCTTTTAGAATGAGGAAGAGGAAAAGCTGTTGATTAGTTCTTACTGTTTGCGGCAAGTCAGGGCTTGGATTCACAGTGATAGGGCAAATGTTTATGTTTTGCAGATGGAAATGAAGGTAGCAAGATGGGCTCAACCGTCACTGCTGCTGTCATTGGGATCATTGTGCCCATAGGTGAGTGTGGCCCCACGACCCTGGGGAGAAAAGAATCCCTGCCCAGGACTTGGGGAAAGGCACTAAAAAGGATAGAGAATTTGGCACATTGACCTGTCTCATTGACTTGTTCTGCCTCAGATTTCCTGCTTCCTTCCAGGCCTGATTTAATTTGGTTTTTAGCATAGCATACAAGGTTTCAGGATCCTGGTCATAGGGAACCCACCCAGCTGCATCTCTCCCTGCCACTCCTTCACACTGGGCACTTCCACCACGTGAAGACCAAGTGGACACTCCCTGGGGACAAGGCTTACAACTGGCCTGCCCCTTCCTCCTAGTGATGTCTGGTGCATGATAGGAAATTAAATAGTTATTGCACTTGAGTACTTGAATAGGTCATACTCCTTTCTTACTCTTTGATTTTCAACAAACATTTATCAAGCAGTTTCTATATGTTAACCAGTGATAAGGGGAAGGAAATTGCTAAAGATGAATAAGACTTGGTCCTGTCCCATAAAAGTTAAATTTGTTGAAGAGACACATGAAACATAAGTTAGTTATGACATGGTAAATCCTAAGATTAAGCTATGTGCCTTTAAGGTTATACAGAGGAAGCACTTAAGTTAAACTGGAAGAGAAGGAAAGAGGACAGGGAAGGTTTTCTAGTGGCAGTGATCCTTGAGCTGAGTCAGCCCAGTGAAGAAGGATCAACAACAATCCAAATAGTAAAGACAGCATATGCAGGAGAGTTTAGAAATGGCATGGACCAGAACATAACATCAGTTAAGATCTCACACGGAACCACAGAGCTGATTCATTCTCCTACATGATGTTCACATAGTCTCGCATACATCCTGTCATACCAACCTCATCTCGGCAGTATTTTGGAATTGTGATTGTCCGCTCAGGAGTTTATCTCCTTTACTTGCCATGAATATTTTAAGATGAGAAACTTCTCAGTGTAGTGGTGAGTTAGTAAATGTGTTAAAACTTCTCCCCTGTTCAATACACTGTACCAAGTGCTAAGAATGCAGGGAATAAAAATTTTAAGAACTTTCAGTTTTTAACGAGGGTTAATCATAAGTCATACAAAGTAGATGTTAATACATATTATAATTTGCCATAACAGAAGCATGATAAATAGTGGTACAATATTCCTGTGGAAGTAACTCCGAGAGTTCTTCTGGAGAGGATGGCATTTGAATTGGCCTTGAAAGTCTCCAGCAGAAAATATATGGTGAGAGGACCATTATTCCAGGCTTATTTGAGTGGACTGAGTGAAAAACAAATAACCCCATTCCCACCATACTGGGCTTTGTAGAAGAGCCATGCATGCTTTTTCACTGATACAGTCTAGCCTGATATCATCTATTTTAAGTTTCTGCTAATCTAAGGGGTGAAACATGAGTATTATTTCCCTGAGAAGTAGAGTAATTTTCATAAGCTTATCGGCCATTTGTTTACATTTTATCCTTTATTTTTTATTTACTTTTTATTGGTGCTCAGTATCAAACCCAGGGCCTCCTGAATGCTAGGCAAGTGCTGTAACACTGAGGTACTCCGTAGCCCATTTCATCCTTTATGAATTGCCTATTCACAGTCTTATTTTTTATTGGTTGTATTATTTGTAGAAATATTTATACATTATTAATATTAAAATTTGTATAAAATATATGACAAGTATTTTCTCCCAGCCTGACACTAGGTTTTTAAATTTCTTTATGGCATCTTAATTTAAAAGTTTTAAGTATTAGATCTCTTAATCTTCTGTTGTAGGAGTTCTGGATTTTGTGTCTTGCTTAGGAAGGTCAGCCCCTCACTCTGAATTATTGAAATATCTCCTGATATTTTCTACATACCTATCTTTTTTCTCTAAAAGCTTTTTTTTCTTCTGTACTGGGGTGGGGATTAAACACAGGGCCTCACATGCAAGCATTCTATCACAGAAGTATGTCCCCAGCCTCCCAAACCATTATTGAATGGTCCATCCTTTCCTTCTGAGTTATCACCTTTCTTTTGAGCTATATTTCTATACATACCAGACTTCACTCCACAAATTATCTATTTTTATATACAAGTTAACAGTACCTGCTTACAACATATTTTTGATTTCTAAATGAACTTCAGAATAGTCATATCAGTTGTATAAAAACCATGATGGAATTTTTAATGAGATTGCTTTGGATATATAGATTTATGTGGGGATAAAGTTTCCCATCCAGGAACATGACATCTGTTTATTTCAGTTTTCTGTTATGTTCCTGTAGTAGAATTTTCTAGATCACAGAGGACTTATATATTTTTTGTGAGGTTACCCCAGGTATTTTATAGTTTTTGCTGGGCTATTATGAAGACGTTCTTATTCCATTATATTCTCTTATTGGTTATTGGTAAAACGAAAGCTATTGATTATTTTATGTTCATTTATGTTCATTTATGTTGACTCTTGGTGAACTAACATTATTTCTAACTGTTATTCACCTGTTTCATACAACATCTGCTAATAATATGTTATATATATATATATATATAAACATCCATTGATTATAATACGGCTTTTTCCTTTTCCTATATTTATATGCTTCAATCTTCAATTTTTTATCTGTTTGTATTGCACAGCTCAATCTCTGGGACAATAAATAGGAGCAACAGTGAGCATTCTTGTCTCATTCCTGTCTTTAATGAGTATCAGTTATTGAAATCTTATTCAAGTAGCAACCCCTGGAGAGCATCCTGGATAGGTGATCGTCCAGCCTTCACCAAAAGGCTCCAGGCAATTGCTTACTAACTGCTTTGCCCAGCTCTGCTGTAGAGTTTCCTCTTACTCATTACTGTATTCCTTCTGTGTTATCCTTCTGTGACCTCTTCTAGAAACGTTCCTCATCTGGTGGAACCCCAGCTTTGGAAAGAAATATTCTATCCCATCCCCCTCCACCCTCCAATTTGGTGAGGGAATGGTTTTTTAGTGATCCAGGGAAGCAGCAGCACTGGGGCAAAGGTATAGGCAATAAATCCACCCATTCATTTAGCACCTGACATTGAGCAACTCCCCAGTGCTAGGTACTGGGCACAGAGAGCTAAATGAGACAGTTCCTGTCTTTAAATGGCTCAGTCTAGTTGGGAGTAAATATGTGTAATGTAAAACACTGTGGCCTAAAAGTGCATATAAGGGAGCAGACTCTGCCTAGAGAAGCTGGGGGAGACTTCCCATTTAAGCTGGATCTCAAAGGACAAGAGGTTACTGGAAGAAAGAGAGAAAATCTTCCAAGCAGCAAAGGAGATTGCAGAAACACTGCCTGTGGAGAAAGGGGTGGTAATATTTGAGAGATGGCAGTATCTGCATGGATGTCTGGACAGTGGGCTGGAGATCCCTGGATGTCCAGTGTAATGTGTCCCTTCCTCCAGTGGTAATAGCCCTGCTGTGCTTGAGTGGCTACCTGATCTGGAGAAACTGGAAACGGAAGAACACCAAGAGCATGAATTTTGACAACCCAGTCTATAGGAAAACAACGGAAGAAGAAGATGAAGATGAGCTCCACATAGGGAGGACTACTCAGATTGGCCATGTCTACCCTGCAGTAAGTATTCTTTGCTGGGAGAATTTCTTCCTTTCCCTCCTTCCCTCCCTCCTTTCCTTTTTAATTCCTTCAGCGTTTATTAAGAACCTACCACGTTCCAGGCACCGTCTAGACCAGTGATGGCGAACCTTTTAGAGCTTTGAAAGATACAAATAGCCCACTGTGGCACATGTGCCATAGGTTCGCCATCACTGCTGTAGACCCTGGGGAACAAAGACATGCTGAGGTATGTGGTTGGGGTAGCAGGGTAGCAGGAACACTTTGTACCTAGAGGCTCTTCTTGGCAGTAAAGAAGCCAAATGTCTTCCTTTCTGCTGAGTAATTTTCAGAACCTTTGTCCTGATAGAGTAACTGGCCATTTAATTTAAATGTAGTCATTTCAACAAACATTGTATGCCAGTTATATGCCAAGCACCGTGTTAGGCATCAAGTGTTCAAATGTAAGGAACTACTTGTTCCCAAGTTTCTGGTGGGGGGGACTTAGAGATACTCAGGTATAATTTTACAACTGTGTGCTAAGTGCCATGATGGAAGCTCAGGAGTCCCTTCCATGAAGCTTTCTCCAGCTTGCTTTGTTCTCCCACAGTCCCCTGGGCCTCTCTCCATCCCAGCACCTGTCATACTGTAGTCCGTCTGTTTTACCTAGTGGTCTCTCCACTAGAACAGAGCAGGATCTGATCTGATTAGTCTGTCTTCCTGGCACCCAGTGCAGCATAGCTGACTTTCAACAAATTATCTGTTGAACAAATGATGTGGAAACATCAAGGGAATTATTAAGTCTGTCTGGGGAAATGGACAAGAAATGCCTCACAGAGAAGTAACAGATGTACTGTATTTGAAAGATTAATGGCAGTTTTCCAGACAGAAGAGGGAAGTGGTATTGCAGCCAGAAGCATGTGCAGAGGCTTAGTCAAAAAGTATGGCTTGCTGGGGGAACAAGGACAATGAAGGGACTTGAGCAGGTTTCACTGCTGTATGGCAGAGTCAGGGGGCTGAGTGTGACCTCAGAGGTCATCCGGTCCATCCCCCTGTCAGGCAATCAGAAGCTTTGATCGCCCACTGTGGGCAGAGCCCTGTCTTGGGGAGACCAGAGAACTGGAAGACCCAGCCCCTGCCCTCAAGGAGCTTTTTGTCTTGCCGGGGGAACCAAAGTCACAGCTGCACCAACTCCCGAAGAACCCTCTTTCCGAGCTGCCTGTCGTCAAGTGCAAGGTAGGGCAGAGCCACTCTGACCTTGAGGGGCTGGTGAGTGAGGGCCTGAACCTAGGCAGGTGCAACCCATCCTAGAAAGCTTCGTGGTCTTGGAAGGCTGTAAACTGTAAAGTGAGTGTTGGGTAAGGAGGAAACGGGTTTGCCACAGACAAAGGAAATGGGCACGCAGAAGAAGGTGAGTGACTGCGGGGCAGACAGAAATGCTGCTGAAGCAAACTGTTCATAGAAGGGAGACAGGGAAGATGAAGGTGAACAAGCCAGGAGGATTTGCAAATGGCCTTGAGGATCTTTCACCTCAACCTGTCCAGGCAAACAGCTGCTTAACCAGTTTTTAGAGATCAGAAAAAGCACAGTGCAGGAAGCATTGAGCTTGGGGTGAAAAGGTGACTCCCAGTCCCACCATTCTATAGCCTGTAGTCACTTATGTCTCTCTACTTTTATTTGTAAAATGAAAATAATCGCATTCCTTCTGCCTCAGAAGTTTGGAAAGTTTAAGGGAGGTAGCACATATGAGAGCACTTCGTAAATTACAAAGCACTTTATACTTGTGAAGTGGCCTGTTTCAGAGAAGGAAATTACCCAGAAATCACCCATGTAACTTCTAGCCCAAGTAATCTCTTGCCAGTGGCATAAAAATAGAGATTATAGTGGGGAAATTAATATTTCGGGAGCACTTACGTGTCAGACACTGTTCTCAGCATTTCACATACACTTTCTTATTTAGAGTCCCTATTATCAGCCCCATTTTGCAGATGAGAAAACTGAGATTCATAAATTGAACAACTCACTGCAGATCATACTAGGAATTGGCAGGGTCAAGAAGTAGCAGAACCAGAAGTCAAATTCTACAGAGACCAATGCTCTTCCCACTATCGTGGGATAAACAGCCTTGAAAAGCTCTGGAACTCAGAATTCTGAACTACGTGTTTCCTGGTCCTTTCTCACATAGCTCTGCCATCACTGCTGAGGCCTGTCTTTGGCATAGAGATTTGTATTGTGGAGACTGGGAGGGTGGCTGCACTAAAAGTCTTAAAGGTCTTTGTCAGAGGAGCATAGCCATGGCATTCATGGAAAACCACAACCCAAAGAGGACTTGAAAGGGAGTGGAGTTTCTTTTAATCCTATGTAGGAAGATGTTGTTATGCTGCTTAGGTTGATGTAGAATCTTTCAAACCGCATAAGTGTTATGTAGTATATTAAATACTCTATGTGCATTGTTTCATTTGGTTCCCTATCAATCATAGGAGGTAGGTCCTATTATTCCCATTTGACAGATGGTGAAACTAAGGCCCAGAGAAGTTAAGTGGCTCACCCAATTCACGTGGCTATGAGAGAAATAGTGAAACTTGGGTCTGTCTAAAGAAGGGTGCCCAGGAAATGGAAGAGTAGCAAACAAGATCATGTCAGGACCAGCTGGGGGAAAGCTACAGGTATATCTTGGAGGGGAAAGAAACAGTATGAAGGGAAAGAGGATTCAAACACGGTCTATAAACTTCAAGGTTTATCATTAGGAAAGAATTTAAATCCACTGTCCACAGGAAAGACTGACTCAGGAGTTAGTGGACTCACCATCTAGGGGCCAACCATTTGTAGCAGAAGGGAGTGTGGCATTCAGTGACTGGGAAGTAGAGATGAGGGAGAGAGGGCTGAGTTTAATTCAGACTTCTGTTTGAAAGGGTACAGCATGTTACTACCTAATTGTGAGTAGCATCCAGGGGACAAGTTGCTCACAGTCTGGGATTTAACATTTAACAAATTAACCCACTGAAGTTGACCCAACCTAAAATCCTATAAGGGAGAAAAGTTTAGATCTTCGCTGCCCTCTTACAGAGACAGGATAGAAGGATGAAAGCAGCAGCAGCTCTGGGATCATCCAAAAGAAACATTACTCAGTGAATGTTTTCTCATCTGTAAAATAAGTATCATAAGTCTTGTCTTTTGGCATAATTTGAAGATTCTGTGAGCTAATACCTGTAAAATGATAATATATCTGATACTTTAATAATAAGTAGTAGGTCTTACGGATCTAATGCTGTTGTCTTTGGTCTATCTCCCCAGCGAGTGGCACTAAGCCTTGAAGATGATGGACTGCCTTGAAGATGGGACCTCCCACTTTGTGCCTCCTGGAGTTCAGTCCCATGCACTGCTCTCTCTGGATGATGTATGAGTGGTTGGATGAGTTTCTATGTATGGGTCTGTGGGAGTGAGTATGTATGTGTGTGTTTAACTTTTAAAAAATTTTATGTTGCGGAAAGGTAACCACAAAGTTATGATGAACTGCAAACATCCAAAGGATGTGAGAGTTGTTATATGTATAATGTTTTATACACTTTTTAACGGTTGCACTACCCATGAGGAATTCATGGAATGGCTACTGATGAGTGACTAACATGATGTACATAAGCAAACGGGGGCCAATGGTACAGTACCTTACTCATTCTTTAAATACTATATTTACAGAGGATGTTTGATTTGGGGGGGCTTTTTTAGGTTTTGTTTTTGTAAATAAAGTGATTATGCTTTGTGGCTATCCATCAACATAAGTTAAAAAAAACACTTCAACTCTCTCCCCCATTTAGATTATTTATTAACATATTTCAAAAATAAGATTAGTTCTATAATTTAGAGAAGTGAAAGTATTTATTTTTGGTATGCTTGGCCCATCATGCAGACTATGTGTGTGTGTTTGTGTATGTGTGAGAGAGAAAAACCTGTAGAGAAGAGGCACATCTATGGCTATTGTTCAAATACATAAATTTATTTTAAAACTGTCCTTGAGAAGGGTACTTGCAGTTTTCGGAGAACCCTTGGAAGTGACTCAGAAAACTGATAACCATGGTTTGTGCAAACGTGTAGTGGAAGAGGCAGATCTTTGCACCTGTGGCTGCTGTGACTCCCACCTGGGCTTTCTTTTTTGTGGCTAAAGTCAATGTACAGATGCCATATTACACAGTGCTAGAAGTTCTAATCAGAGCAAAAGACAGAACACACCTGCTTCTCAGAACAAGCAAATCCTTGTTTTAAAGTTCAGCTCTTTGAGTAATTTCTTTAATTTCCATCAGGACACTGGGGTTGAATCCAGTAGGCTTCCTCTGAAGCTCCCTGAAGCATGCCATCCTTACAGAGCTAAGTGGAGATGTTTCTGGAACAGCCTGGGTTTACTGTACAGACTGGCTCAGACATCAAATCTCTGAGACATGCTGTGGATAAGGATAAAGATGGTGGAATAGATTTTATTACATCTCCATTTCTCTCTTCCCCTCACTCTCTGCCATTTCTTTCAGCTGGGGGAAGCATTTTAAAGTTAAGAGATAGGTTTCTTACTATATAAAAAGTAAATTTTGGCTCAAGTCAGAAAAGGTGACCAAACGTGAAGTTATATTTGAGGGGAAATGGCATATGCAATATTATAGCATATTGGATAAATATGTTCACACAGGGATTTTATTGCTTTGTAAATAAAAGGAAAAACTCTGGGTATATGTATAGATTTTTTTTTTTAATGGACACCTTTGCTTTTCCTTGGCCTCAGGTGAGGTGAGGAGAAGTGTGATTTTCTATCTGTGGGGTCTACAATTGGACACATAATCCTGCAGTTCCAGAAGGAATTCAGTTGCACTGGCTTTCTCATCCAAAATGTGCTCTTTAACTCTGCTGTTCTGCCACTTCATTCCTGCTAAACAACCAGGATGTGTTTGGCTTAAGTAGGAGCAGACGACCTGTATCTAACCTTAACATACCTGGAACTTGACATCCTTAAGCAATGTGTCCCTCATCCTACCCTCCAGCACACCCCCAACTCTGAAGCTTGGATGTCTCACCAGCATTTTGAATTTCTGGGCAGACAATCTGGCACTCTATCATCCTGTTCCTAGGACCTTGCTCTACGTCACTGACGGTCTTCTAACCTCTAAGAAAACAACCATGTTTCAGAACGTCCAGGGCATTATGCTTTACAACTTCTTCATGGTATACATGTGTTTGATGGTCCTGAGCCACTAATTAAGAGGGTAAATGCAGCTGACCTAGACCCATACCAAACAAAATTTTAAGAACAGGTGGCCAACTCCTATGGAGCTTAATCACAACTATTCTTTCAAGAATGGAAAGTAAAATTATTTTTGACAAATGATGAAAATGAAGACACTGAAATTTATATAAGACAAGTGACTTTTTCTGTAACATGCCTCCAAAGAAACTGAATTTCCAAGGGAAATTAAATAACTGGCACAGTTTTAAAATTTTCAGTCTGATCCTGTCCTTCACAGAAAAGAAAAAAAAAAAAAAAGATAATAAGGTCAGGACTTGCAGCCTGAGACCTCAAAGTGATGAAATTCACAATTCTCTCAAGAGACATTCCTATTTCCTGAATATGCTACAACTGCAGTTTGAAAGAGGCAGCTATGGGAGAAATCTACAAGAAACAAATGGAGAAATACATGTTTGGATTGCAGGAAATCAGATGAAATCAGAGGAGTCAGATCTACTTTCCTCCTATTCTTGGAGGCTTTTTGAGCCTTGTTTGAGATACAGTTTCACTTCCATTGCTCCCCGCTTCCTCATGCATATGTATTTACAGCCAACAACAAATCATGAAGTCATTGGACTATAGATCTAGAAGAAAGCTAAGAGATAATAACAAGAGGGCAGTAGACAATATTTCCTTTATTTTTAAAAAAAAGAAGTTAGCCTAGTCCTTTTCCTCCCTTTCCTTCTCCAAGAGACATCTCTGGACTCCCTGAACATTTTTTTCAAACCTGCTTCCAATCCTGTGGCTGAATTTCTGGTGGGATTTGTTTTTGGGAGAAAAGGCCTTCCATAAACAGGAAAAACCAAAACTTTATTTACTCTTGATAGCACAATTACATTTAAAACAGATTGAAATGATTGTAACCTCAGCTAGCAAAAAGGAATTAAGATTGGATTTAAATTTATGTCAATTAGTATTACCTATCCTTTCAGTTATCTCTATGTGATTGCAGTACAGTATATTCATTTCCTAAAACCACTTATTAGCTGTCGACAGTATACCAGGCACTGCAGATGTGAAGGTTAAATGTTTCCTTTCCTTACAGATCTTACAGTAATGGCAGAGGAAGACATTTGTGGATACAAAAAAAGGGATTCCATGTAGAGTACTGTTAGGAAACAAAAAATGGGGAAACAGGGTCATTCTACCTGAGGAGAGGAAGAATGGGGTCATTATAGGAGAAGTGACCTTACGCTAAGACTTGAAAATTAAGAAGGGTTGTCTAGGCTACTTCCAGCAGAGGAAACACCGAGCTTTGAAGCATGAACCAGCATGGGAACATTAAGGAACTGCATGTAGTTCATTATAAGTGGAATGAAAGACTCAAATAGACTTAGAAATGAGGCTGAATGGAAAGACAGGTTCAACATAAGCACTTTATAAAATACTTATATTTGATTTTTTTATTTAATCAAGCAAACATTCTTTGGTCATTTATTTTGTACAGGGAACTAAGTGGAACTTAGGATGTGTTGCCAGCACTTTGCAGGTGTAACATTCAGCCTCAAGCTTTCCAGTGGCCACAGGGAAATGTTGGTTGCTTTTCATATATGAGTCAGATTTCTGATACAGTTAATCAAAACTAATAAAAGGGCAGTGAGATTTTTACAGAAGCATGTCATGTCAAGACCCTATTAGATTTTCTTATCTGTGAGAAAGGAAACTGGAAATTTGAATGAAATAGTCTGGAGAGGGGATCCCAATCATTGTACAGTCAGGCACTATTGGGAAATGGGGAGAGGGCCATTTGGATCCCCCAGGTATGTGAACCCCCCTAACTCAAACCATATACTCATCATTTCACAGAATATAAGTGAGTTAGCAGTTTAAAATTTCAGAATAATTTCCTTTAATAAATGCATGAAGATAGATAAGCATCTTCTCACAATATATTTTTAGAGAATTTTCAGGATGTGAAGATTTTAGAAGGTAGAGGATTACAGTTTCAAATTTTCAGTTAACTTTAAAAATCAGGAAACTCTTCACTCAGGCTGTGCACCGTGTGCACAGTCAAGAATCAGCAGAAACCCTCTGTATTTGCAAACACTTTGTGCTATAAAAAGTAATTTTAAAAAAACCCACCTGTATAAATATATATATATTTAAAGACAAGGTTTTGATACTTTTTTACAAAAATTACAAGATAAAACAACTGTACAGATCATGTGCTTTTAAAACAGCATTCTGTTCTATAGAACCTTGTTAATTTGGGGGTAAAGTACTGGTTTGTAAACTCCATCCTATTGTATACTAATGGACTTTCCTTATTTGTCTCCCGCACAACCCCAAATTACCGTATTTGATGTAACAATCAGGCATGTTAGAACGTTCGGTCACCCTAAACCGTCACTGCTCTGTCTTGTCTTCTGGAGTTCCGTTAGCTTCTGTACTGGTGCCCTCGGCAGTCTGGCTTCTCTTCCAGGGGCAGAGTGACGGGAGGTGGTGTGCTGCATCTCACTAGCTGTACTGACATCATCTTGGTGAACTGAAAACCAAATATCGACATCTGTAAAATCAGTACACTTTCTAGAAAGAAATTAAATCAATTTTTTAAAACCTTTAAGTGTTGTTTCATTGTGATGTTTTAATGAGGGGGCTGAACCATCACTAATTGAGACCTTAATGTGTACTAGAAATTCTACATAAATGTCAACCTCAGCAACAACCTTACAAGATAATACCAATACTATCCACCCTCGTAGTATAAATGAGGAAATGGGTAAAATAACTGCCCAAAGCCTCAGTTACATTTAGCCCCAAAAAGCAACTTCCATGTAGTGTTCTCTCCATAGATTTTCCTTTTCTGTCTCTGGCTGACCCATGTTTGTCCTTGAGTACTCCACTTAGGCAGTCCTCCTTGCTTCCATGTTTACCTATTGGCATCCCAATACACACACACCTCCCATGCCACTGAGGTTTTACCAAGGTCATCCAGAACCTCCATTATAAATCTTGTAAACATTCAGTTATTTTCCTTGACCTGGATATGGTATTTAGTATTCTGCTCCCCACCCTCACCATTGACCTCAAGACCTTGTGCTTGTGAGGCAGGTGTGCCACTGAGCTCAATCCCCAGCCCAATATTCTTTTCTTGGAATACTCTTGTTTTGGTTTCCATGGCATCCTACTTCACATTTTCCCGCTACCTCTGGCCATATTTTAGTGCACCTTGCTTAAATTATGGTATTCCATCTCAAACCCATTCAAACTTCTATTTCCATTGCCACTACCTAAGTATAGGTCACTACTGTCTTATGTTACCACCGTTATGGGTTATTTTTACAACTGTTTACTGAATTTACTTCTAATGCTTCCATTTTTTTAACCCAACCTACAATGTGGCATCCTGTTCTTTCTAAAATGTATTAGTCATAGCAACACCACCTCTCACTTTCTTGCTTAAAGGTCTTCAACTGCTTCCCTTGCGTTAAAATTCAATATTCTTGGGGCCAGGGATTTAGCTCAGCAGCAGCACCATGCCTGCCTTGCAAGTACCATGCAAGGTCCTGAGTTTGATCCCCGGTACCAGAAAAAAAAAAAAAAATCAGTATTTTTTAATTTACTCAAGCTTTTTTTGGGGGGTGGGGGGGTTTCAGACAGGGTCTCACTACATAGTTGAGACTGATCTGGAACTCACTATGTAGCCCAGGGTGGTCTTGAACTCACAGTGATCCTCCTGCCTCAGCCTCCCGAATGCTGGGATTACAGGGATGCGCCACCACACCCGGCTCTTACTCAAGTTTTTTAATGGGTCTTACAAAGGTTTACTCAAGACCTTTAATTGGCTTCTGTCCCTTTTCCAACCTTAACACCTGCTCCACTATATTTTAATCACATAGTGCTGGGCCCTGTGTCTGGAAAAGTTCTTTCAGGAAGGCTTTCTCCTTCCTCTAGACTGGATAAGGAGCCATGCCATATGCTTTCAGTGTAGAGTAGTCAGTGCTTCCTCTACTCTATTGGTAACCCTTATTCCTACATTGCCTTTGTTTTTACTTGCTCCCCCGGGGGGGGCTGTATAAAGATCTGTGTTTCTAACATTGTGCCCCCAGTACATGATACCTAGTTCTCAATAAATGATGCCAAATTCAACACTGCAGACATACAAAGCATACTCTTTCAGCTATGTTGTCTCGTGTCCAAAACTGGATTACTTTACAGGCTGTTGAGTCAAATGTCCTTTAAATTCTCAGCATTTTTATTTGCAACATCTGCTGATGCCCAGATTAACCTATTACATTATAATTTTACTCTTGGAAAACCACCTAATGACAATTGGTGGATGTCTCTGTATTTAACTCCAATTATCACCTCAAGATTGTTGTGATTGCCAGATAGGTTCCGCTGCCTGTCGGACAAGCACAAGGGCCCTAGTTCGATCCCGGGTACCAGAAAAAAAAAAAAAAAAAAAAAAAAAAAAAA